GTGCTGTATTCCAGTTCGGACGTAGTGATAATTTCAGCTTCACAAGTAATAGCCCAGGAGTGTTTACTTTTGGTGGAAATCCTGGTGCACCAGCGCCACCAACCCAGCCTTCTGGCTCTTCAGGATTTCCATTTAACCCGACTCCAGCATTTGCAATGGGGTAAGAATATCTTTAAGTGACTAAAAGGGTGGGAGGGGGAGGGAGGAATAAGGATCCTAATTCATAGTGTTGAGTATGTGCAGCTTCTAACTCCCAAATCAGTCTTCATTTATATGATTACTGTAGGTGTTCACATGAACATCTATGAACAATGACCTCCATATAAATTCTTAGAATTATGTTAAAAGTGACCGACTAATGGTTTTGGTGCCAAATCTGACATCATCTTAAGGGGACCTGATTTTCAGATGTTGAGCATCCGTCCTCTGAAGATCAGGTTCTTTTTAAAGTGTCTGAAGTGAGGCACAGAATCGCTTTTATGCATGAAAATTAGGCCATCTTTCATGTTTGCAGACTTTGCATCTACTTTAAAGCCAGCTTCTTGTTCTGTACTGTAATACAGCAAACGTGGCTGCTTATTTTGTTTCTGGAATCCTTCTCTTGCTTTGGATTTTATGACTTGTGGGCCTGACTAATTGCTGTCAGAATACATACTATTGCAGATAGTTATTTTAAATTATTACAGAAAAATCCTGAGATTTGCAGTGGCAGCATGCTAGACTTTTGACTACTTCTGAATTCTTTTTGACAGGTCTAACGGGAAAAATATTTTCTCTGCTTCTGGATCTTCAGTTTCTGGGCGGAAGATAAAGACTGCAGTTAGACGTAGAAAATAATTGTCAGTGGTGGTTAGACAGCAACTTTCACAACAGCTGGTGCCCTGCACTTATTGGATTGTACCTCACGCTGGGTTTAGCTGAAGTCAGATCTGCCTAAAGAAATTCAAAACTCTGCTGTCTTTTTTCCCCATTTAGTTTTTTTGGTAAGAAGTAGAGTTGGCAACAGGAAGGTTCTCAAGCAAAACTATTTTAGAATCCAGCAATTTCTTTATTCAGACTTGACATGGTCTGGCTATAGACATGAATATAGCCCGTACAGCAAATAGCTTTGTATAATACCTCTTCATCTGCACCACTATGTGCGCTCATTTGCGTTTACTGACGCCTCAAAATTGTAATTATATCAGTGAAGGGATTCTGTATAGAGTAGAGAATGTTGATAATGAATGATTTCTATGCTGAGTTTGTGCTGGTGTATGTGTGAAGTGAGTGAGTTGGGTGTATTGTGCACTAAAATTTTCTGATAGAGGAAGACTGATTAAAGGATGGTCCCTGCTAAGGACTTGTTAGATCTGTAGTTCTCCATTTAATAATTATATGCTATTTCTATATTTTCATTCTTACGGCTCTTTATCACCTGTCTCGCCTTTTTGTTATTTTATTATGAAAAAGTGTAAATACATTTTTGTTTCTCTTTTTTGGCATAACAAATCTGTGAACTTGAAATTTTAATTTTGTGTTATGGCAATTTTTGTTTAGTATTGTCTCAGATTTTATTATGTAAATCCCATTATTCAAAGTTGCCTAAATCCATTTGGAAAATCTTTAAATAAAATTGGGAATTCTTAAAGTGAGTTTATTGGCTTTTCTGATCCATTTTTGTTTGGACCAAAAACCAGTATTGTACAAAGTATTAAGTATATATTTTTATATTTACAGAAATGGACTGTGGTGACTTTGGATAATAAGGAAAAGTTTAATATTAAAGCCATGTTTATTACAGTATAATTAACATGTTAAACCATGGGATAAATGCCATCAATAAAAATTATGAAATATTGTTTGTTGTAGTTTTAACTCACAATGAAGCCTATCTGTAAGATTAAGCATTGTGTCCATCAGAATAGAGCTCATACCTCCCTGCAACATTTCTGCTTTCAACAGAAATACAGAGATTGGTATAAATGTGTGCTCTGTGATTTAATGGATCCTCTAAACAAGGGGATGTCCAAACTTCTCAACCCAGAGGGGCTGTAACTGGCTACTTACCTAGAGCCTGAGGGCTGCACCTAACTTGCATATACATTTACATACTTTTAAAAATCAAAATAAATGCACCTAACCATAATATTTGCTTGTACTCGTATTTTACTTGATTTAATTAAAAGTGCTGCTGCTTGGAGTTCAACAGCACTGAAAACCAACAAAAGAGCTGTAGCACATGGGACTGAGGCCTAGTGTGTATCAAACTGCAAAGCACTTGCGGGTGACCTGGCTGATTGGTTACGTAAGGCTGGCTCCTTGTCATTGTTCCCAGCTGGAAAATATTTTCCTAGTATTCCATGTAAGCATGTGTAACTGTCATGGGGCTCTTAAGTGATTGCAAATAGAAGGGATGGTGGTCTGTGAGACTCTAGTGAAGATGTTCGAAAGCCTCTAAACCTAGAATAATTTTATGGAAATTCTAAAATCCCTACCACCAGGTCATCTGTTTTGGTGGCTTCCACTGTATTGATTAAAACTTCTGAGGCAGCAGTAAGTGTTCTAGCAGTACCTGCAGTGAGCTGGTGTAAAACAAGCTGATCTCAGAGCTCACTGGGGAATGGTCAGACACCCACCTCTGCTGCCAAGATTGTTCACCCCATGGAGTGCTAATTGTTTATGGTCCAGAACCAGACTGGTGGGACAAACACCAGTGGTTGCATTACATAGTTCCAGGAATGCCTCCTTACTTATGTGTACCTTGACAAGAGCATCCATTTCCCTGAGGAAACAAGCTTCCTCAGATTGTTACTGGTCTGTTGGGATGAGGGTGGTTTAGAGGTTGCATGATATGCAGCAGCATCTGCCACACATCCATTTAGAAGTTTACCCAACTGGACATTCAGAAACCTGAATTTGCTAGAACCCAGGTATCCATTCTACTGTGTTCATAATCTAAGTTATGTTACATGGGCAGAGGAGCTACATGTGGTTAACACTTCAAACTTCTCTGGTGTAGACAAAGCCAAAGCCTACTCCAAGGAAGACTCCTCACTTAACTTTCTTCAAAGCATGGGACATTTTACATAATGTTCTAGCCTATTAGAATTACTAAAGCACAAGCTAGTACTAAAAATGTTAAAAATTAGGTGTTTTGATAGCTAAGATATCTGTGGCCTTAATCACTTATCAAATTATATTTTTAAAACGGAAAACAGCTTTGTCGTTAAATGTGCTAGTCATCTCTGAAAACAGGGAACTTAGTTATACTCTTAGCTGCTTCATTTCAGAAGTTTGACTGCTGGAACCTCAAGTTTCTCTTCACTTCCAAAATGGGTGGTGGTGGTGATGGGGAGGGGGGTTTGACAGAGACATCTATCTTATCTTGCTGTAAAAGCATAGTGGGGACAAGCTGTAAGTCTGTAGTAGTCTCACCTAGCTCCATTGCTCTAAGCAACATCAGAAGACTTAATAAAAATTATGCTGGTCTGTTTCCAGTAGGGCTCCCCTTGGTGGAGCTGTACAGGTGATGGGAACAGTTGGAAACTTGGGAGGGGTAGCTCACCTACTTCACTACTACTGTACTGATCACCTTTGAAAGCAGTAATTACCTATTTCAAGGGCTCAACTGCCTTCAGTGCAGTTAGTTTACACTTGAGCTATTACCACACATTAGCTAACCTCAAGTGACTTTGGCCAAACTACAAAATAACACTGAGGATGCAGCAAGCTCCCACTACTTTATTAAAGCCAGCTCTATAGTTGGAAGGCTTTGCTGGAATAGCTATCAGCATCCCACATTGGCAAAGCACTCCTAGTGTGGACAGTTTGCCAGCAAAAGTGCACTTTTACTGGTGTTTCCCACATCCCTGGCCTCCCATGAGAGAAACAGATTACACTAGCAAAAGCACTGTTTTGCTGGTATAAGTGCATCTGTTTGAGGGGCTTTTTTGAGCTACAGTTCACAGCAGATGATGGGCTAACTCACTCAGGTTTAAAGCACCTAATTCAAACTAAGAGATAGGTGTATGGACAGGAGTTGGATTAAGGCAATACAAGTTGTATGTTGAGTTAACACATCAGTAAAGATCAGCCCTCAAAGTTAACAAGTGTAATACCAAGGAATTATTTTCACTCTCCCCCACTGTGGGCAGAAAATGGCCTTTATACAGGAAGGAAGGAAATTGTAGCAGTTCCTAGAGTATGCCTGAAGTGTTAGCTAAACCTTTAAAATAAACATCCTTTTTATCTTAGCCAAGCCATACTTGCAGTGAAGAGCTACTGACGCTCTACAGAGGGGTCAGCAACATTTGGCACGCGGCTTGCCAGGGTAAGCACCCTAGCGGGCTGGGCCAGTTTATTTACCTACTGACGCATATTTATCTTCCGAAATATGCCTAAAGACTGAAGCAGGACATGCTTATTGCAAAGAGAACTTTTCAACCTACCACCTCCAGGTAGTCTTGTTCACAGAACTCTGAATCGTAATATCTAGGTTGATCTTAATCACTCCCCAGTATTCAAGTGCAGCTCCCCACTCAACACAGTAAAACACTTCTCCAAAAGTGGAGATACACTTCAGTCCATGATTAGCTTGTCCTTTTCCCCTTGCATCTTTCATACCTAATGCTGAAGTAGGAATACAAAAGGGTACTTGTATTTTATACAGACCAGCCTACAGTCACTGATTGGCTTGTAAACTGTGCAATTTGCCATTCATTTTCCACAAGCACAGCTGAGCTATCCAGTTCTGTGATAACTAGCTCCTCCCAGCTGAATAACTAGAGCATAAGTTGGTCACATTTAAATTGATAGGCTAAAGTCTAAAGGCAATTTAGAAGTGACTTCTTAAAGCTTATATTCTAAATAGGCAAACAGCTGTGAATTAACTTTTTTATGAAAGACAGAGCAGGGAAGCCAAACATGTACTAGCTAACAAACTGCAGCTATGACCAAGGAATTAATTTCAAAACTCAAAAGTTTGTGGTAACGTCACTCTTCAAATAAAAGGACACATCGGGGCTTAGATTTTTATTGAGGAACTGAATGGTATAAATTGTCTTTGACCTATCAGACAACTGACTACCCTGACCACTTCCAAACAAAGTGCCAACTGCAAGCACCCATTTGAGTGTGAGAAACAGTGAAGCTAGAGGCAGTGACAGCTGAATTCAAGTACTTTGTAAAAACGAACTTCTCTTTGAGAGAAGATTAAATGTATAAACAAGAGAAAGTACAGAGTTAACTGCAGCAATTCACCATAAATCTGGTCATATGATTGACATCTTGAGCACTTAAGAGCAGAACCTTAACATGAGATGTCAAGTTTCTTTTTCTTGATTCTATAATCTCTGTTTTGAAGTTTTGCTCTAGCACCGTCTCTACTTTGCAGTCTGTTGCACCATATCATCTATAGGCAACTGATAAGGTAACATGCAGCCTTCTGTGATACATAGAATGAATTCATTTATATAGAAGAAACTAGATTCTTGTTTAGAATGCTATTAGCCTTTCAGAAATCTTTGATCTGGGTGTTAGTTTTAAAGGTTATGACTAAACTTAAGAGTTCAAAAATGCATATCTTCAGGGAGAAGACCCATACATCATTAGAACAATTTTATGCTGGTACAATTAAGCTTGATCCACACCCATCAGACATTCCCCCAAGAGTTTGGAGTGTTAGACATCACAGCCTTTGTGACTAAAGATTAAATGGGAAGTTATTCTGTCTAGCCGGTGGAATGATTTTACCTTAACTACACTATTTACTATTAAATTTATTAAAACTGTACAATTATCAACTTTACATTTTTGAAGGAAAAGCATGTGCAAAATACATCTCCTTTTAATGCTAATGATTTCCCCCCCTAAAATAGCAAGCCTATCTCCATTTGTTTGCAATGACTATAGTGTAAGATAAACCCACTACTTTTTTAATCTTGTCATCTTCAATTGTAATTTCTTTGGACAGGAATCATTGGACTGTTTGTACAGTGCCATCATAATTTGGGGGGAAGGCAGAGAGGTGCTCTTTTGATGGGTGTAGGTTTGGAATCTGGGTGTCCAGCTGAGAAAGGTTAGGTCAGTGTCCTGATTTTAGATACAGGCAGAAGGCTGCCCATCAAGTTAAATAGCCACCCCATATCTCAGGGATGTGCAAACTTTTTGGTCTGAGGGCCATGAACGTAGGGCTGGGGCAGGAAAGGCCTCAGGGCAAGGATTTGGGGTGCAGAGAGGGCTCAGACCTGTGGGTACCTCCCCTGAATCTCCTATTGGCTGTGGTTCCCTGTTCCCAGCCAATGGGAGCTGCGGGGGGCAGTACCTGCAGTGCACAGAGCCTTCTGCCCCACAGGGACCTGGTGTCAGCTGCTTCTGGGAGCCGCACAGGGACAGAGCAGGCAAGGAGGCTGCATTAGCCCCACTGCACCACAGGGCTGGCAATCCCACGGGCCAGACTGAAAGCTCTGACGTGCCGGATCCTGCCCGTGGGCCATACTTTGCCCCCGCCATATCTGTACTGAAAAGCAATGGCCTAAGCAGAGTTAGCCTGTCATTTCTATCTAGCAGTAGTTCATATTCACTGTTACTGTGTGCAAACCTGTCATTCTCCCAAAACCATTTAATTATATTAGTATGACTAACTCAGCTATTTGAGTTTGTGGTGTAGGCTCACCTCCCAGCTTTCTGTTGTCTAACCTATTCATGCTAGTATTTTATCCCAATGGTTGTGCTTACAGCATGTGCAGAACAGGAACCGCTTATTAAGGGAAGAGGAGGGGGGCACACCACACAGTGTTGGTGAAACCTGCTGCCCTACTGCACAGTGAAACCAGAAAGGAAAGTAGAATACGGTTGTCTTTGTACTGTGGCTGAACTCAGTGTTTATCCACTTCATTAGCTCTAGGAATGAGTATTAGCTGAGATTCAAATTTTAAACAGTGGCTCTGCAGTTTAAGAAATCGGCAGCTTCTAATCTGATCTGCAGTTAGTAGGCAATACTTTAAAATTGCCATGTTAGTCTGGATCTGTAAAAAGCAACAGAGGGTCCTGTGGCACCTTTAAGACTAACAGATGTATTGGAGCATAAGCTTTCGCTGCATCCGACGAAGTGGGTATTCACCTACAAAAGCTTATGCTCCAATACATCTGTTAGTCTTAAAGGTGCCACAGGACTCTCATGTGTAAGTGGAAACCAAGTTTACAAGAAGCAATGAGCTCACTCCTGCTGGGGGGGGGGGGGGAAGCGGTGTGTGTGTGGAGATCTAATCATGCAAAGGGTACATCTCTCTAAAACAGACATTCAACCTTTTGCAAGTAGTAACCAAAAAGCAGATTAAACACCATTGTAGTGAAAATTAGTTTAGCTTCATGCTTCCTTAGATCAGAATACTCCCTCAGGAACACTTCAATACTTAGCCCTAATGATACACCATTCATTAAAATGCTAAACTATTGTGAAAGTTGATAGTGAAATAATTTAGGAAGGTGATTGCCACTAACAGTAGAAATGCTTGTTCTATATTAAATTGCACATTTTAAAATACCCTCCCACAACACCCCCTTGCACAAAGTAGATGACAGTCAAGAGTAACTGCTGCAACCACTTGTCAATATTTAGTCCTAAGCCAACTACAGACAGTAATGTGGAATTCCAATTCATAAAAAAAACAAAACAAAACAACAACAAAAAAACCACCTGACATATTTAATCAAGTTTTAACAAAAAGTTGGCACTGTTCTTCAGAAGCTCTTTCCCAGTCAGTATTACATGAAGAATAAACATAAGTTATCAAAGCTATGTAATCATGCAAAATATTAGGCTTCTTTATTCATCAGTAGGTATCCAAGTTATTCTGCATATAGCAGTGATTAGGCAGAATTTTAAAATATAAAGTGAAAACCAATTTTTGAACTTGTCTATAAAGTTAGCCATAATTTGTGTTCTGGTTGATATTTTCTACATGCTGCATATAAACTCCATCTATCAGTTTACATAGTCTATATGCAACAATTTGAGGGAAGTAAAACCTTTCCTTCCCCAACTAACGAAAGCAACCATATTCACCTTTTGTTTCCATGATCTATACTGTTAATTTTATAGCTCTGAAGTTATTTACACAAACACCACAGTAATTTATTCTTCCCACAAAGAAGTGGTAACCTAATTTACCTCTTCATTAGGATAGACATAAATAGTGACTTAATGCTTAACACAATCATGCAAAAAACCTGCCACAATACATGTTTAAAGAACACATTTGAAAAGTGGTGAATACAATGCTTGAAGTGAAGGAGTTCACTAAGCCTTTTAGGGGCTGATAATACCCAACCACCGCACAATGTATCGGTTTAATGGCAACACATTATTAGCTATATTTTTGCCTCCATCCCCCCAAGAAACACTGCAATCCCTTCTAAGGGATAGTTTCTGTAATGTGTTTTGTAAACACCCATATAGACCACAACTACATTCTCCAACTTATTTTTGCCATAAAATAATCAAGTTGTAGAACCAGTACTTTTTAGGATGGCAATATTTCCAGGCATCTCCTTTCTGGAGATGGACAGAAACTGTCTTTATGGATAAATATAACCAGTTTCCTTCCTGTCAATCTAATGTTAATACTTCCAAATTGAATAGGTACTATTTCTCTGAAATGTCTTTGGCATTTAAGAAAAATCAATACTTTCAAGATAATCACTGGCACCATACTGGAATGACTCATTGTTTAACGTCTGAATCTGTCTCCAGTTAATTTGGGCAACCAATACTGATGGTCTTCTTTACTTTGTTTTTTAGGAGTTCAAAAAAGTTTGGTAATCTGGGCTTCTTTTAGTATCATCTTACTCCATTTCTTCTTACCACAATAGTTCCTGCTACAATGTCATAGGCTGTTCTGTTATGCTGAAAAAATAGCAGCGTAATGAATGCAGGAAAAAAGGAAGCAATAGAAAAATTCTTGATCAAGGCTCGTATTGTAGACCTAGAATGAGAAGGAAAGCAGTTTGTTTTAATTTTCAGTCCCTGCCCAGGGAAGTTTTGCCACTGATCCAGTACCTCAAATGTATGCAGCACAAAGTGAAACATATGGATTTAGAAATCAAGTATTTTAACATGCAAAGCTAAAATATGCCTTTCTGTTTAGGTGATTAAACAGTCAGGACAGGATTCTTGGGTCACTGCAGGATTCTGTCTGATAAGACTCAGTGCCAAAGAGACTCAAACTTTAAAGCCAGGAAGGACCATCATGATCCTTTAGTCTGACTTCCTGCATATTGCAGACTACAGAACCTTGCCCACCCACTCCTATAATAGACCCATATTTCAGTAGAAATAGAGCCCCTCAATTCTTTAGTTTTAAAAGGCAGACCCCCTCACTACAAAGTACGTACTGAGAGATCTCATTGTACATGACGGTTTTAATAAGAAAAATTAGCAAAATGCTGGCAAAGTGATCTTATTTCAAATCATGTACTTTCAACCCTATTAATTTGCGAGTGATACAATTAAGTGAAGAATACTTACGTTGTTATGCTAACATTAGAGGATGGAATCACTAACACACGATTTGGTGCAATAAGTACAGATGTATCACATGTCACAACTCGAAGTCCAAGCAGAAACTTCCCTGGGGTTGCCCCACCAGCTCCCCAAATACAGATAATCTGCAAGAGAAATTAGCTATTTTATTTCTGCAATCCATCACTGTTGGTTGCCCAAAACATATATAATTTTAATAAGTCTGATCTATAAATAAGAGCAATCCAAATGGCACAGAAGTATAAGTCTTAATCATAATACATTGAGTATTTAATTTACATTTATTCTCATGTAGTAAGTTTACATTTATAGTTTTAAAATAAAAGGTTTAAAGTTAGTTTAGCTTGGGTAAGAATGACATGTGTGTGCAGTAAATTGGTTAAAGAGCTAAGCAAATGTAACCAAACCTTGAAAAATAATTGGTTCAAATGCTAAAAAAAATGCACCATCTAACAAGACAAGTTTTGGGAGGAGGCTATTCTTGAAATATTGGTAAGAGAACCCTCTCATTAATAAAAACTTGGTTCTTACAGACAAAATGGTTGTGATGAATTTATATTTAATATCTTAAAATATGGGCCCTTGTAAAGAGATAAAAGACCAGCTTTGACACAGATACATTCAAAGAAAAAGGCCCACGCTGCCCAATCCGGTCTTAGCCAAGGTCGATGGAAAGCCAAAAAAAGAGCAGCCCCAGACAGCCGAAAATTGGTTCTTCGCTGAAGTAAGCAATTGGCAATGACATCACTTGTTTGTTATACTGTATAACAAAAAAACATGTTTGCTAAGGGTAGTTGTCATTCCTATCTGATCAAGCTGATGCCCGTCAGAATGAGAGAGATGTCCCTAGGATGGGCCTTTTGAAAGTGTACTGATCAACTTATGTTTGCTATTGTATATATGTGTTGATTGCTTATTGTTATTTAGGTTTTTAGAGCAATTGTATAATTTGGCCTTTGGATTTAATAAAGGAATTTATGGTTCAATGAATTTCTAGTAGTATCCTATATTAGTAATTCCAACAACTTCATGGATCAGACACCAGTTGGTGTACTAGTGTTAGATTTCTTAACCAGTTAACTAATCAGTTTTCAAATACTTCTGATAGTCATGGAACAATATTTGACCTGGACATCCAGTTGATAAGTTAGGATTTAATATTCATGACTAGTTACCTCATAGAAGCAGACTAACAACCTGTAGATAAGGGCCACTATCATCATTTTCTGCAAGTCTTCCATGGATGTGTCTTCATCTATTTCTTCTATTATATAATGCATAGCAAACTTGGAAATGTCCCTGTACAAAAGAAGACTTCACTTTAACAAGTGAGCCATTCCACAAGGCTATTGCATTTGACCTTCATTATGGTATTGCCATACCTGCAGCCACCCCTTTGGAACCTAGGCCTGGTCTACACTGAAAGGTTATATTGGCATAGCTATGTCCATCAGAGATGTGAAAAAAACAATCCCTTGACAGATGTAGCTTTGCCAGCATAATCCCTAGTGCAGATGCAGCTTGCTGACTCAGCCTCATAGCCCAATTCTATACTACAAATTATGTCAACCTAACTTACGTGGACATACAGCCAGCACAATTATTAAATAGCTTGTGCGCACACATTTGGCTCCTTGTGTCAGCAGTGCACATTCTTACCAGGAGTGCTTGGTGTATGGACTATATTGTCAGGGTGGGACATTGCGGGGCAGCTCCTGGAGACCAGCAACAGTCAACATAAGCAACGCAGTGTCTACACTGACACTGCATCGACCTAATTACATCGACCATGACAATGCCGCTTGGGGAAAGCGGCACAGAGAAGCACATTGGCAGGAACCAAATTTAAGTGAAGACACTTCCACTGCTAGGTCAACGCAAGGCTGCATATGACCTAACTGTAGGCTAGACCAGGCCACAGGCTTTAAGGCCAGAAGGGACCATCATGATCATCTAGTATGACCTCCTGCACGTTGCAGGCCACAGAACCTCACCCACCCAGTCCTGTAATAGGCCCCTGACCTCTGGCTGAGTTACTGAAGTTCTGAAATCATGATTTAAAGACTTCAAGTTACAGACAATCCACCATTTACTCTTGTTTAAAGCTGCAAGTGACCAATGCCCCATGCTGCAGAGGAAGGTGAAAAAACCCCAGGGTCTCTACCAATTTGACCTAAGGGAAAATTCCTTCCCAACCCCAAATATGGTGGTCAATTGGACCCTCAGCATATCAGCAAGACCCAACATTCAGACACCTTGATAAGAATTCCTTGTAGTAACTCAGAGCCCTCCACATCTAGTGTCTCATCACCAGCTGTTGGGGATATTTGCTACTAGCAGTCCCAGCTTGGCTACATGCCATTGTAAACAGTCTCATCATACCATCCCCTCCATAAACGTATCAAGCTCAGTCTTGAAGCCAGTCAGGTTTTATGCCTTCATTGCTCCCCTTCGGAAGCTGTTCCAGAAATTCACTCCTCTGATGGTTAAAAACCTTTGTCTAATTTTAAGCCTAAACTTGTTGATGGCCAGTTTATAGCCATTTGTTCTTGTGTCAACATTGGCACCTAACTTAAATAACTTCTCTCTCCTCCCTGGTATTTATCCCTCTTATGTATTTATAGAGAGCGATCATATCTCCCCTCAGCCTTTGTTTGGTTAGGCTAAACAAGCCAAGCTCTGAGTCTCCTTTGCATAAGAAAGGTTTTCCATTCCTCATCATCCTAGCAGCCCTTCTCTGCATCTGTTCCAGTTTGAATTCATCTTTCTTAAATCTGGGAGACCAGAACTGCACACAGTATTCCAGATGAGGTCTCACCAGTGCCTTGTATAATGGTACTAACACCTCCCTCTCTCTACTCTAAATACCTCAACTAATGCATCCTGCATTAGCCTTTTTCACAGCTGCCTCACATTGACGATTCATAGTCATTCTGTAATCAACCAGTGCGCCCAGGTCTTTCTCCTCCTCTGTCACTTCAAACTGATAAGTCCCCAGCTTATAGCAAAAATTCTTTTGTTTGTCCCTACCTGCATGACCTTGCACTACTAAATTTCATCCCATTTCTATTACTCCAGTTTTCAAGGTCATCCAGATCTAGCTCAGTGGTTTGAGCATTGGCCTGCTAAATCCAGGGTTGTGAGCTCAATCCTTGAGGGGGCCATTTAGGGAACTGGGGTAAAAATCTATCTGGGGATTGGACTAGATGATCTCCTGAGGTCCCTTCCAACCCTGATATTCTATGATTCTTGTATGATATTCCCAATATTGAGGAGGACCAGAATAGCTCTCATCTTTTTGTCATCCGCAAATTTTATTAGCACACTCCTACTTTTTGTGTCACCGTCATTAATACAAATGTTAAATTAGATTGGTTCCAAGACGGATCTCTCAGGAATTTCACTAATAACCTCCCTCCAGTCTGACAGTTCACTATTCAATATGACCCACTGTAGTCTTCCCTTTAACTAGTTCCTTATCCATCTTTCAATTCTCATTAATTCACATCATTTCCAAATTAATTATTTCCCCCACCTGGAAATGTATCAAATGCCTTGCTGAAACTAGGTAGATTAGATCTATTTCATTTCCTGTGTCTGAAAAGATCAGAGGGTCCTGTGGCACCTTTAAGACTAACAAGTATTGGAGCATAAGCTTTCGTGGGTGAATGCCCACTTCATCAGAAGCCATTCACCCACGAAAGCTTATGCTCCAATACTTCTGTTAGTCTTAAAGGTGCCACAGGACCCTCTGTTGCTTTTTACAGATTCAGACTAACACGGCTACCCCTCTGATACTTAAAAAGATCAGTTATCTTTTCAAAGAAAGATCAGGTTGGTCTGGCACGATCTACCTTTTGTAAAACCATGTTGCATTTTATCTCGATTACCTTTTAACCTCTGTCCTTAACTACTTTCTCTTTCAAAATCTGTTCCGAAACCTTGCATACAACTGAGGTCATACTAACAGGCCTGCAGTTTCCCGGATCATTTTTATTCTTCCTTAAAAATAGGTACTACAGTGACTCCTTGCTTAACACTGTAGTTATGTTCCTGAAAAATGCTACTTTAAGCAAAACGATGTTACGTGAATCCAATTTCATGTATTGATTGTAATGTATGTATTAATGTAAAGGGGGTAGATTCCAGGGACATTTTTTCTCCAGACAAAATAACAATATATATATATATATATACATATACACACACACATACATACACACACACACTATAAGTTTTAAACAATTTAATACTATACACAGCAATGACGATTGGGAAGCTTGGTTGAGGTGGTGCAGTCAGAGGGTGGGATATTTCCCAGGGAATGCCTTGCTGCTAAATGATGAACTAGCACTCGGCTGAGCCCTCAAGGGTTAACATGTTGTAAATGTAGCCTCACACTCTACAAAGCAGTAGGAATGGAGGGAGAAGACAACAGACGCATGGCAGTGGCTGCAAACATTCCCTGCGGAAACTGAACATGATGATGAACCCATGCTATCCCACTGGAGCGCACCACTTCCCCCACTTTCCAAACTGCTGTGTGTGCGTGTGTGAGAGATGAGAGAGACACGCATTGCCCCTTTAAGTATGCTGACCCCACTCTAAGTACAATGCCTTTTTAAGTAGATCAGCAAGTCGAGACAGCAGCTGCTGTCAGCAAGCTCCCTCCATCCTAAGCCCTGTCGTGTCCACCTGCTGCTCAGTGGAGATGGGGTACAGGAGCAGGTGGAGGGGGACATCCTGACATCAGCACCCTTCTTCCCCCCGCCCATCAAGCAGGAGGCTCCTGGGAGCAGCTCCAAGGCAGAGGGCAGGAGCAGCACACAGCAGTGGGGGGGAGGGACACCTAAAATGCCCGGCAATTGACAGCCTGCTGGCCAGCTGCCACACAAGGAAGTTAGGGGAGCTGATATGGAGGCTGCCGGTCCATTCTGGTTCCAAGCCTCCACCAGCTAGCTCCAACGGGCTGCTCTTCCTGCAAGCAATGGACAAAGCAGGCGGCTGCCAAACAACATTATGAAGGAGCATTGCGCAACTTTAAATGAGCACGTTCTAATACATCAGCGACGTAACAACGAAACAACATTAACCTGGACGACGTTAAGGGAAGAGTTACTGTACCATATAGTTAAGCAGTACAACTCCTATGGACATAGTTACAGCAATGTAAAGGTGCTTTATGCTGATATAGCTATTCCCATACAGGAAGGAGAATAAGGGCTTGGCTACACTTGCGAGTTACAGCGCAATAAAGGAGCCCTGGGTGCACTAGCTCACTACCTGTCCACGTAGAGTGCTCTGACTCCGCGGCTAGAGCGCTCCTGGTACTCCACCTTGGCGAGTGGAATAACGTTTGCTGCACCCCAGCTGGAGTGCCCCAGCATCAGTGTGAATGGGGTGTTGCATTACTGCGCTCTGATCGGCCTCCAGAAACATCCCATAATCCCCTTAAGTCAAGTGGCCACTCTTGTCATTGTTTTGAATCGCAGCAGGAATGTGGATATGCCCTTTGAAAGCTCCGTTTCTGACAGCCGGCTGCTTACCTGCCCTGAGACAAAGCAACCATAGTGTGGAATGCTGTGAGTGAGAGAGAGAGTGGCGGGGGGAGGAGGAGGTCTGCTGCTGTCTGAACTTACAAGACAGCATGCTGACATGCTCTCAGCCCCCCAAAAACTCACTCTCCCCCCCCACATACACACAACACACTCCACGTCACACTCCACCCCCCCCATTTGAAAAGCATGTTGCAGTCACTTGCATGCTGGGATAGCTGCCCATAATGCACTGCTCCCAATGCCACTGCAAGTGCCGCAAATGTGGCCACGCCAGTGCGCTTGAAGCGGTCAGTGTGGACAGACTGCAGCACTTTCCCTACTGCGCTCTACGAAGGCTGGTTTAACTCAAAGCACTGTACATCTGCAAGTGTAGCCCTAAGCTATACCAGTATAGGGCACATTTATACTGGTTTAACCATTTAAAAGAAGCCACACCCCTAAATGAAATAGTCATACATGCCTAAATGTCAAACTTGCATACTTCAGTCACACGTATCCAATATACAGTTGTGTTGTAAAGTCTAATAATTTAAAGCATCTCTCCCTCAAAGACTGCTTAAATTAGGTCATCAAGAGTAGGTGGTTCAAACAACACTGATCCCAACTTCCCATGCAGACTGAGTGCAGAGTAGAAAAAAGTTTTTCCATTACTAGGATAGCAGTAGTCCCTATAGCTCCTAATCAAGATCAAACCCCATTGTGCTACATGCTGTGCAAATATGTAGCTACAAGCCCTGCCCTGAACAGTTTACTTTACTTGGAGAAAAATTTCAAAGAGTCAAGGAGAAGCGGACAAGAGTAAAAAACTGGATCATGTTGTTACATAGATTAGCTATGTTGCAGCCTTGTGATTCCAATTATTCTATTTCAAATTAACTCACCTTTCCCATAACTGCTCTACACACACAGACATCATTGGTTGGCTCTCTTAAGTATCACAGCAGAAATGAGTCTGTAGAGAGCAGTAGTCTTATGGATTAATTCAGCGTTCCAAGCATAAGGGCACGCATAGAAAGAATGGAGATGTTTGCAAAAGCAGATAAATCAGCCCTAAAAATCTGCATCATTTGTGCAGACGATAGGGGAACAAACTGAGTTAGAAAGGGCTTTGAAGTTGAGAAAAATCAGTCATCTGTAGCAGATTCCCTCCATTCCTTCTTTTCAACCAAGGAACAGAACCATTTTGACCTCTTAACAGGCCACTTCTGGGCTACTGCACCAGGTTCATTATGCCTCCTTCATTATTCTAGATTGCCTCTTAGTTTTATTAAAATAGATCCTTCCTCTGTATACCCACTTGCAAAATCTGGTGCCCCAGGTGTTGAGCTGAGGGGCTGTCTTGAAAAGCAATATCCTTTGAGGGGCGCACAAGAGATTTTACAGGAAGAAAGCTTCATCACCCAACTCTGTATAAGGGAGGGGAGCTTCAACTACCTCAGTTCCTTCTCTGCTGCCACAGACAGCAAATGGTACTTGCCTTCCTGTCCTAAGGCTATATCTTCCCTTACTCTATATTATTTCCATATAATGAGTCAGTGCACAGTATAGGATAGTTTAGAGTACACACACTGCCCTTGTCCTGGGGAACAATTGACTCTCCGCTGTAACCAAATTGAGCCCCAAGCTCTTCAAGATGTGTACCTCCTGACTGATCATGCCTTACACATCCAGTACCTTCTACGTCTGGGTTATCAAGTGGGTCTCGCACAGCTTGCCACACCCTCACTCCCTCCCACCCGCACTAGAAGGGGGAGACACTTGAGGCTCAAGATTCATCTGGTTTTTCCATGGCTACAGCCTGATATTCAGATGGGGCCATTGAGGGAACCGAGACTAGCCTCTGTGCCAAGGTCCTCTGACACAGGACCCAAGACAGATATTGCCATTCTGGCCTTAGTGTTGCTGTCTCTCACAGGTCCAAAACTGGAATGTCTTCAGCCTTATACCAGGAGCAAATCCCTTACCCAGCATTGTTAGCAGCAGTTAAATCAGAAGTGGCACGGAAGACCAAACCATCACTGTCTACTGAGGCTCTAAAAGTCTTGGCGACGATGCAGGAAAAACTCATCTCGGCACCTACTCCTCATTTGGCACCAACTTTGGACCTATCTTCCAGTGCCAGTACCTTTGTAGTGATACTGCAAGTCCATGCAGATGCCCATCAGGGAAAAGAAAGCAGACCTTTCCACAAGAGGGGCAGAGTTATCCTTTTCTCCTTTTTTATTATGAATCAGTATTTGGGGATCTTGATGGATGATCAGCTGAACATGAGGTCCAGGTGAGATGCTGTGGCCAAAAGGGCTAATGCAATCCTTGGATGTATAGACATAGGAATATCTAGTAGAATTAGGGAGACTGCATTATCTCTATTTGGCACTGGTGCAACACCCACTGGAATACTATTTTCAATTCTGATACCCACAATTCAGGAAGGATGTTGATAAATTGGAGAGGGTTCAGAGAAGAGCCATGAGAATGATTAAATGATTGGAAAACCTGCCTTATACTGAAAGGCTCAAGGAGCTCAATCTTTTAGCTTAACCAAGAGAAGGTTAAGGGGTGACTTGATCAGTCTAAAACTACCTACATGGGAAACAAATTCAATAGAGGGCTCTTCAATCTAGCAAAGGTATAAGAAGATCTGACGCTAGACAATTCAGACTAGAAGGTACAAGGGACAAGTTTTTAAACAGCAAAGGTAATAACCATTGGAACTTACCAAGGGCTGCAGTGGATTCTCCATCACTGACAATTTTTAAATCAAGATTTGATGTTTTTTCTAAATTTTTCTAGTTCAAAAACAAATTAATTCAGGAGGTCATGCTAGATGATCCCAGTGGTCTCTTCTGACTTTATAATCTACGAATGTTCTCATGCAACATGTTCTCAAGTAGCATTTAAAATTACATTTTATACAAGGAGTAAAGAAAACAGTCATGGTTGACAGGTTCCACATCTGACTTATCTTACCCCCTACCCATACTAAAGAATTGCAAACAAGTGTTTTGTTTAGTAAATGCTACTTAGCCCTTTTCTTTAAAATAAATAAATAAAAATTCCACACCAAAGACCGTGGAATTTGTGTAGAACAACTGATGGAGGAACCCTCCAATATATCAGCTTTCAAAGTTTTTCTAAACAGGGCATGTGAGATTTTTGAAAAACCCTGATAGTGTCTTTTAAAAGTACAAGCTAGTTTAAAGTGTTTTCCCAACTGCTCATACTCAGAAATTTCATTTTTAAACAAAATTGTGAGTGCCAACTACTAAGGTTAACAAAAAAAAAGTAAACATTTGAGAGCATTTCTAGGCATGTACAGTAACTTTTTATAATACACACACCTGTATAATGTGTCACTTTAATAAAGATCTATTTTTAAAAGACAAAATATGTTTGAAAGGAGCCTCTTATCAATAAAGGTTCCATCATGTGCTTCTCCTCTGTGCAACCCTAGCTACTCCAAAATGCACAGTATATATATATATATATATATATGTATTCTTTAATCACAAGAGTGAAAAGCTTTATATAATAATGCCTTAAATGGTTTAACTTACTTTATTCCACTGAGATGCATAATACTTAAGACAATGGTTGCCTTTATAAAGAAAAGAATAAAGAAATCCACCATCTCTGCTATAAACCTGTGTGCCAAGGATGGGATAATGTATTCCCGACCTGTAACAAAAACATTTAATTACCCAAAATTTTACTGTGCTAAAGCAATTTATAACTTAAACCTGAACGTACATTAGTTTGCACTATACAGAATAAGAGGCAATATTAAAATGGTATTCCACATTGTCCCACTGCAGGGAACATTTTCAAAATCCTTATTCTGACCCATGAAAGCCCATATTCCTTTTATTCAATTACCTCCTTAAAATGTAAATAAAAATAAAATAAATTAATGGAGCTATCCCATCTCCTAGACCTGGAAAGGACCTTGAAAGGTCATCGAGTCCAGCCCCCTGCCTTCACTAGCAGGACCAGATCCCTAAGTGGCCCCCTCAAGGACTGAGCTCACAACCCTGGGTTTAGCAGGCCAATGCTCAAATCACTGAGCTATCCCTCCCCCCAGTACTGTACTTTGATACAATGGGAATTGGATGACAAGTTACCTAAGCATGTACCTAAACCAAGCAACATATCTTTGCTGTTGCTCTTCCTCATCCCATCCCTGCTCTGTTTGAGTCACATATTACACCTAAGTAACTAGACATGGTCCCATCCTTGAAGAGCTTACTTTTTGTAGTGTACCATTTTTGCATTCTATTATGATATTTACAAGGAACTTGATATAGAATGTTTTCTTGCAATTTATTTTTTTTATCTGGGATTAAAACTGCCTCCTTCCCACCACTCACTCATTCTACCTTAGAGGAAGACTTCAGAAAGAGCTGAGCATCAGCCCTGTGAAAATCAGGCAGGGTCCTTTTAGATCTCTCAAGACAGGTTCCTGAAAATCAGGTATCCTAAATGCCTAGCCACTCTTGGCACCAGATTTTTTTTTTTTTAACCAAAAGGACAAGTGTCATATAAAAGAATTCTAGCTAGGCTGATTCTCCACATTGTATTTCCTCAGCAGCACTTACAGGGGCGCCTGAATGAAACTTATATTCTAACAATTGCAATTTAAAATATTCATCCATCTGACTTAATATAACCATATTTGTTAAAAGTCACACAAGTATATTTTGGAAGGAAGAAGGAACCCTTTACTATTCCACTTCTTCCCCCACAAAAAACTTCACCACAATAACCTCTCCTACCAAAAAAGCCATCTTCACAAGGCATCCACAGAAGCTGCACAAATGGCACTCTGAATACTAGCCTCAACAAGTTGCTTGAGAGCAGCACAAAGCTCTCAGCCTCTGTGTTCTTGTTTTTAAATGGCAAATACAGTTAGAAGAGTGATTAGGTAAGAAGGGCACCTTCTTAATATTTGCTTCTGCGCATCTTCCTTTTATATCTGTTTACTTCACTGACAAAGTTACTCTCATTAATGCTAAAGAACAGAAAAACAGATTCAATTCCCATTCTTGCATTGTCATAGTTGTCAAATAAATTCTAATTGTACAATCTTTAACCAAACATGACGCAAGAATGTGAAGAACACAGCTTGACTTCCTCACGCCAAGTTGTGCATGCAGTACCAGAAGGTCCAAATCAAATGAACTTTCTAAAATGAGCATGTTTAATATGAAAGTTAGTGATATGGAACCTCTCATTTTATTCTTCTGACTATAGCCACACTAATATATTAAATGCAGCAACAACTGGTTAAGATGAAAGCTAAGTGTTAAGACTGTGAAAGTCAGGACTTAAATATGACACACTTGTTAAAGTATCTTAGAATTCTTAAATCTATTAACATGAATGGTGCTACTAATATAATACTGCATATGCTATTCTTTGAGGATAACCGTCTATGGTGAATTAAGAAGAATTATTTTATTGCTTCCATGAAATTCTGACTGTGGTCACAACTATCCTTGATATTCAAAATCACTTTCAGATGCCAGCAGAACACAAAGTACCAAGTATCCGTCATTCCACACATTGTCCCCTGGCATAGCAGATTAGTGTACTAACTTCTGAAGATGAGGATAAAATTGTTGATTCAAGAATAAAATGTTGATTTTATTTAGTATTTGGATCACCCAAGGGCAGCTCCAGGCACCAAGCGTGTGCCTGGGGTGGCAAGCCGTGGGGGGCGGCCTGCCGGTTGCTGTGGGGGCGGCAGTGAGGCAGCCTTCGGCGGCATGCCTGCGGGAGGTCCACCGGTCCCGTAGCTTCAGCGGCTGGCACGCCGAAGGTGCGGGACCGGTGGACCTCCCGCAGGCATGCCGCCGAATCCACCTTAGCAGCGGACCTCCCGCAGGCATGCTGCCGAAGGCTGCCTCACTGCCGTGCTTGGGGTAGCAAAATACATAGAGCCGCCCCTGGGATCATCACCATTTCTTTCATTAGGCAGCTAAAGGGGTTGTCATGCATCCAAGTTCAGAGGCAGCTAAAGGGGTTGTCATGCACCCAAGTTCAGAGGCACTAAACAATCCCAATAACATCTGTACTTCTACAAAGCCCTTTGAGGATTTTGAGAAGCGTTGCAACCTTAACATCTAAACCTCGTTAGTCATAGTTCCCTATAGTAAAATGAAGAAACTGAAGCACAGAGATTAAGTTTGCCTACACATCATAAACCAGTGGCAGGGCCTGGAATGAAATACAGACGCTCCCATTCCCAGGCCAACCACAACGCTACGCTTCGAAAATATAAAATGCTAAATATTAGAGCCGAAAACGGGCTCTGTGTAACTTGTCTCTCCCCCAACAGCAGCCAGTCCAATAATCCCACCTAATCCCGAACAGCAAAGCCCCATCACTGACAAGCCTGGTCCAAGCTCTGCCTGGAGACCAGGCGTGGGATAGGTGGCCAGGGCAGCGCTTGGCACCTTCACAGCACTGGGGCGACACAACTCCCAGGACACCCCGGCCAGTCAGTTCAGAGATCCCGCCGGGGCCACCCGCTCGAGCCAGAACCACTCGTTAGGAGGCTCCTTCCCCAGCTGCCCCTGAGCCTTCACCTCGGCCCGGGTCTCCCCCCACCCCCATCTCACCTGCCGGCCGGCCGCTCTCCCTCGGGGCGCT